CTGCCTGTGGACAGACTCCAAGCAGAGCCTCCTTTTTCTTATGTGGGCATGGACATGTTTGGCCCATGGGAGGTAACCACCAGGCGAACGAGAGGGGGACAAGCAAATAGTAAACGTTGGGCAATATTGTTCACATGCTTATGCACAAGAGCCGTCCACATTGAAGTAGTGGAGGAAATTAGTTCTTCAAGTTTCATAAATGCACTGAGACGTTTCTTTGCTGTGCGGGGTCCTGCAAAACAGTTGCGCTCAGATTGCGGAACCAACTTCATCGGAGCTCACAATGAAATAAACGGACACGCACCGGAGAAGGACAAAGTGCAAAACTTCCTGCAGAATCAGAAGTGCACCTGGGTCTTCAACCCACCCCATTCATCCCACATGGGGGGAGTATGGGAGCGGATGATCGGTTTGGCGCGCCGGATACTCGACAACATGCTGCTGCAAGCTGGTCGTATACAACTCAGTCACGAAATCCTTACCACATTTCTTGCAGAAGTCATGGCCATAATAAATGCACGTCCCTCTTTTACCAGTATCGTCAGACCCAGAGCATCCCTACATTCTATCGCCTGCTATGCTCCTGACACAAAAAACACAAGCTGTGTACCCTATCTGTGACTCTATCGATCCAAAAGAAATGCTCAAGAGCCACTGGAGACGTGTGCAGTTCCTTGCGGACACATTCTGGAGCAGATGGCGCAAGGAGTATCTCCACGGCCTCCAAATCCGTCAAAAGTGGCATCGCAAGAACAAGGACATCAAAGACGGAGACGTTGTGTTACTTAAGGACAAACAAACAAGAAGAAACGAGTGGCCAATGGGTGTAATAACAAAAACTGTTCCAAGCGAAGATGGGGTCATTAGGAAGGCTGAGGTTAGAGTAGCCTCCCAAGGGACTGTGAAAATCTACTACCGACCTATTTCAGAGATGGTTTTCTTATTATCTAGTGATGTTTAAGTTGTGGTATCCTAAGATACCAGACGGGGAGTGTTCTGACTTGTCTATTTATCTTTGTCATAGTTTGCTGGTTTAGAGCACTGGCCCTTTAAGAAAAGGCGCCTGTTGCTGCCACCTTGTTGCCATGGAAATTTACGCTTGCCATTGCCAGTTGAAAGTGTGCTGGGAAAGACGTGTTTTTTCAGTTGAGTTCTTAAAAGGCATTCCCTGTAAGTATGTATGGGTTAAGTTGATTAAGTTAGGTCAATTAATTAAGATGTGTGTTTTAAAAGTTATAGGAGGCACAAAAATGAACTATTTACAGTTTAATTAGGCCATGTTTGTTTAGTAGCATTTGAGGTAATGTTAGCTACAAAGCGTGCTGCTCTTTATTTTACATTTTGTACTCATGTACATTGTATTTTGTGTTTACAGTTTCACACCTGCCATATAAAGGAAAGGTCAAACCCATCCTGGCGTCAGTGACTTATTGTGTGGAGGTGTTTAACTCCTGGATAGTAGATAAGGGTTCTACGAGGCCAGTACACTTTAAATATGTTGTATAATTTGAAAGGTAAAAAAAGAAAAACTAAATCAGATTCTTAATGGCAAGGCAAGGCAAGTTTATTTGTATAGCACAATTCATACACAAGGCAACTCAAAGTGCTGAACAAGATAGCATTAAAATCATAAATAATCACAGAACATTAAAAAGAAAGATAAAAACATAAAATCCCTCAGTTGTATGCACAGCTAAACAATTCTTATCTGTACAAATGTAATGTCACAATTGGTGCCAACTTGTAGCAACCTTTCTTTGGGTGCACCACCTGTTTCTGTCTAAGATTATGAATTCTTAGCTTAGAATGCTCTAATATTTTGTTAAGCGTTATCTGTGGAAAAAAAGAGAAGACAAAAAGAAAAGAAAAACAAGCAGATGAATTAAGCTACAAATGTAAATAACAGGTTGAATCTATGGAGAGATCTGTTCCCAGCTCAAAATATGTGTTATCAGTATAGACTTGCACCATTACAAAGGATTTCAATGCAAATAGTGTGAGGTATACTCTGAAACGGTACTAAATCCATAATTACAAATGTGATATATTTGTATGACAATAATGTTTAACGGAGGCACACTACTTTTAGTTATCGACACTTGTGTGAACACATTCTAATCCTATTCGTCGTGTGTTCCAGTGGCATCCTTTCAAATGACAGGCTGAAAAATGCTCTTTTAATTGATAACTTAAATGATCACTTAAATGCATTTTTCTTGAATTATCAGAGGGAGTAATGGTTGGCCTTGACACTCATTTGTTACAGTAACTAGATACAAGTTGCATCTCCATGGAGACAAAAAGTGACAAAAAATATTCTTTTGGAAACGCAATAATGTGCTGCTGACTCGCTAGATTTAGAGGTTAGAGAGATGTGTGTGTTCTGTGGGGAGATATGTGTGTGTCTTCTTTCCTGTGTGTGTGTTCTGTGAGGAGAGATGTGTGTATTCTTTGAGGAGATATGTGTGTGTCCTCTTTCCTGTGTGTGTGTTCTGTGAGGAGAGATGTGTGTATTCTTTGAGGAGATATGTGTGTGTGTTCTTTCCTGTGTGTGTGTGTGTTCTTTCCTGTGTGTGTTCTGTGAGGAGAGATGTGTGTATTCTTTGAGGAGATACTGTATGTGTGTGTGATCTTTCCTGTGTGTGTGTTCTATGAGGAGATATGTGTGTATTCTTTGAGGAGAGATGTGTGTGTCTTCTTTCCTGTGTGTGTGTTCTGTGAGGAGAGATCTGTGTATTCTTTGAGGAGAGATGTGCGTGTTCTGTGAGGAGAGATCTGTGTATTCTTTGAGGAGATATGTGTGTGTGTTCCTTCCTGTGCGTGTGTTCTGTGAGGAGAGATGTGTGTGTTCTGTGAGGAGATATGTGTGTATTCTTTGAGGAGAGATGTGTGTGTCTTCTTTTCCGTGTGTGTCTTCTGTGAGGTGATGCTGAGATGTCGAGGCAGAGGAGATAGGCATCGTCTGCAGCGCACAACCTCAGCAGGTCACAACGTGTCCAAGATTTGATACATTTTTTTTTATAACAACATTGTCACATTAGTATTTTATCCACAATTGTCATGACACATGGACTTTTTATTCACTTTCAATCCTAACATTCTTGACTATTGCTATAATACAGTTGGTGGTCACATTTATTTGCAAAGCCTCCCTCTTTACACAGCCAGATGCACACTGTGAATTATAGCTACAAGTGTTGTGCCTTTGAAGTACGTTTCTTTTTAATAAACTCTGCCACTTGCATTTTTGGATTCTTCCTCTCCCACAATTTCAATCACAACAAATGCTAATGTTTTTAATTTATCATATGTTTTGAAATTGTACCCAGGCTCCTAATGCCTCACAGATTGTCTGTTGCAGGCTGTATTTGTCACACTTGTGGTGGCGATGTTGAAAGAATGGAGTTTGAAGTCGAGAGAAGGAGGCAGCAGGTTCAGTAATACAAGTGAGAAGAATAGATTTAAGATTTGTGGAGCGAAGAGAAAACTGTCAAGAATTCTACAATGAAAATAAGGCAGACGCTTGAATTGTTCTGCAGGGTTTTTTTTTGCTTGTGTTACTCAACAATGAGACCTGTGTATTGTTCATTTTCATACAGTAATAGAAAAGATTTTCCTTTGATCATTCACAATTTCACGTAGGGGTCACACATGCTGGCACAGTGTCCAGGGGTCTGTGTGTAAATGAAAGACCCCATTTTGCTGGAGTGTCCTGAGGCTGGCAGAGGGACACCATCTGATCTGATCATCTGTTTGGCCAGCTCCGTGTCATGGGACTTCACACATAAATACAACAATCTCAAGGGTCCTCCATACTATAGAGCTCACGAATATATACCAGTACTAAAACTTAAAATTCTTTCCATTCTTGTATAACCCTAAATCACAACAGTAGTCATATCAGAGGACTTAACCAAACCGTTGAAATCGCCAACACAGATCAGAGAATCAACAGTTCAAAATACAGAACACATACAGTATTTATTGGTCCATATGGTGAGACCAATGTCCATGAATGATGACGAATGTCCACACATGTTGTAGAATGTGGAGTGTCCAGGATCATCACCACAGTCCTTCTTGTGAGACACTAAAACAGGTATTGAAGTGCAAGAATGACCTTAATGTAAACATTTGTGAGTAGTCATTTATCATCTGCCGCTTATGGACCAATGTGTTTTCTGTCTGATTTCTTGGGTTTGAACAGTTTGATTCCCTGATCTGTGTTAGCGAATCCAACGGTTGTATAAAGTCCTCCGTCGTGATTTAGGGCTAAACAAAAAAAATTAAATTGCATTGAACCTCATTATTATTCTCATAATTCAACAAGCTCACTGGACGTCTGTTGTGGAGGCATCGATCACTATAAGCGCTTTCACCCTGCAGACCTCTGTGTTTCGATCTGTGCTGGAACACCCCGACTCATGACAACAGTGGGAAAGGTTGGAGTGTTGTTTCGACCCATGTTGACTTATCACCACAGAGAAGAAAGGAACGTGTCAAAAAAGTCTTCAAAAGTCAGTATTATAATGAACAGCACAAAGCCTATCATCCACGTGGGGCAATAAAACACATTTCAAACATATTTCTTTGCAGGACAGTTTTGTAAAAGAACAAACAATACATGCAAAAGCACAAACTTAAATGGTAAGAACTTCACTCGTGTTCCACAGATTATTACTCTGTCATTACAAAATGTATTGCCCCTCGTGCAACTCGGGTAGAGTTTTGTAACTGTCAACCTCACCCGCAAATAAGCAGCGGGCTATAAAACAGTTGGATTGGATTTCTGTCTAAATTGCATCTATCCTTGGTTGGAGTGATCACACTGGATATGCCTCAGCAAAACGATTTCTTGAGGCAGGTTTGAATGGTTTGTGTTGCTCAGTGTCTAAAAAGAGGCTTCATTGGGTCTTTGAGCCTTGGTCTGAGTGATTTCAAGGGATTTGTAATCAATAAGAACTATTTCGTCTGCGTAAACCTGATTGTTTTGCCTATAGGCTCGTTCTCTCGTGCGGGGGCTGCACTGGAGGTGTGGAGGAGCATGGAGCATGGAGGGGAGAGCCCGGTGGGCCAGGACAGTCCTGAGCGCAGGGGCAGCAGTCCGGACCTCAGTGACCTGCCTCCACCGGGGAAGAAGGGCAGACTGGAGCTGAACGGCAGTCCCACTGGGCCCCGGATCATACGCTACAATGGGGCGCCACACAGACCACTGGGAGGTAAGACTGGACAGGATTGATAAAAGGTCAAAATGGAGACAAAGTGAGCCCGTTTATGAAGGTTTGAGTCACGTGTTAAAACCCAGTGGACCACTCTATAGTCTATAGACAGTATATTACTTAAACACTAAAGTATGGTCTGATATGCAATGTAGGTACAGTACGCAGATGTTTACAAAGTTTGAGTAACTATGACGATGACAAAAAGACTGTAGGTGTCATTCCCCCGTTATAATACTTTATCATAAATTGACTGCATATTAAAGGTGATGTCTGCAAATATTTGTTTTTAATTTTGAACCGTTTTTTATATGTCCCTGTAGTATCATTCACATTAAGTAATCTTCATAATAGATATATTTGAAATAGTCTCTCCCCCTGAAATAGGAATTGCCAGTAATATTACTTGAGGAGAGTATGACCAATGGGGTGAAGCCTCAGCTGTCTTTCAGGGATTGTGTTTCAAAACCTTTTTTTTTCTTTTTCATAATAAGTACATTTAATACTTTGTTTGCTACTCATCGGTATACTTTACTTAATGGTTTAGTTAAAGTAATTATTTAATACAGTTTCATTTGATACTACTGTTCTTGAACTACACCGGCCATTGGGAAACATGATATTTTATTGTGTTCTATAAATGTATGGAGTAGCATGTGTGAAAATGAATTTAATTTATTTTCTTATGTGTGTCGATTGTGCCATGACCATGACCACATCCTGGCACAGAGTTGGGTGTGTTTTGAGCAGCTGGAGAAGCCTGTGGGGAACACTATACAGGCTTCTTACCAAATAAAGCAAATTGCTCCATATAAACAAGATTTATACAAGTCACTCTGTGGATCGATCCTGCTCTCAGTGTTAAAGTTGGGACCGATCCTATAGGCTGGGTTAAAAAGTTCACAGGTTCATAACAGATAAGATGATAATGAATGAAGACAGTGGCTTGATGGGAAATAATTAAAAACATGGAAACTTCTGAAAATGCCAAAACACACGCTGCAACTTTGACAGTGCCCTATTGTAAGGGGGTTTGAAACTGACAAGACATTTCACACATTTTCCCCTGAAAATATTGTCTCCATGTTTTGGGCTCGGGCTGTACAGTATGTGTGTGGAGGTCAGGCGTCTAACAAGTGAACACACGCTGAAGAGGGGAGTGCTTGTCTGAAGAGCTGACAGTTATATTTCCCTGTTGGGGGTAATTCACTTACTTGAATTGGCACCGCGCTGCAGTGTGTAATTCACTCCATGAGAGCGGGAGGCTTGGGAGCACAGTGATTAATGAGAGGAAATAGAAATATAGGAATTGACTGATTAAAACAACGGGCTGCTGCAGGGTCTGGGGCTGCACCTTCATATTGTGTTTGAGACGGCGCGTGTGTGAGTCGCTCTATTATTATTATTAGAGCTGGGACTCTGCCGAATGCTTCCAGTCCATCAAAGGGTTTAATTAATTGCCAGATGACACGTGGCGCTGGATCAAAAGCCTTTTGGAAGACAGAAGGGAAGACAAAAGGACATTTGAATGATAATGTTAATGTGTACAGACTGCTGATCTTTTGGAAAGCAAACAGACAATTCACTTGGGGGTTAAAGGTTCCCAATGGGCCCAGTTCTATTGGACAAAACTTTTTCTTCATTTACAATACTATAGTAAAGTAAAGACGTACCTGCCGTTTCTATTTCTAAGCTTGGTCTAGATCTGAAACAAAGTCGCAAAGTGTTTGGTAAAGTTTACACTGCAACAAAGTAACGTATTTTGTGTCTGAAATTGAACACCAAACTTTGTATAAACTAATATCAATAATGAATATTGTCGCATTGAGACAGTAAACATATTTTTGATTAAAACAAGTGATAACAACAAGTGATATGTAAATGTGTAAAAAGATTTAAATATACATTCAATATCTTTATTATAATTAGATCCAAAGGTTTTAGGTTTTTATAGGAGCCAAACCCATATCCTTTCATAATGTAAAGATGCAGAATATGCTACAATAAAAATCTTTTGAGCAAATATTTAATTTTAATTATTTACAATTATTGTGAGGAACAATGCCGTAGTTTTCTAACTCTTCGACATTATTAACATACGCACAAATAAATAGTTAAATGAATCCATCTAAAGTTTTCCGTAAGATTGGTATCTCTGATGTTAAAATGATTGAGTCTCCTGAATGTTGCGTGCAGGGCTGATGATCCCGGTGTTCTGTGTGGTGGAGCAATGTGACGGAGCAGTGCAGTCGGAGAGCAGCGACAGCCGCGAGGAGCACGCAGAGTTTGTTCTGGTCAGAAAAGACGTCCTGTTCTCTCAGCTGGTGGAGAGCGCTCTGCTGGCACTGGGCTATTCACACAGCAGTGCAGCCCAGGCCCACGGTCAGTCGCACACACACATACAAACACACAGAGAAACACACGCACACACACAAACACAATATGCACCTGTTGCGAGAGATTTTAATCTCTTACGTCCAAGTTGTTGTTTTTCTTAATCTATATGAAATGATTTTGCATAATTGAAAAATAAAATCTGGCAAGGCAAGTTTATCTCTATAGCACAGTTCATACACAAGGCAACTCAAAGTGCTGAACCACACAAGAAAATCACACAAAGAATAAAAATCATAAACAATCGGCGTACATTAAAAAGAGCAAAGATGAAATCTTTCAGTATGCACAGCTAAACAAAACTGTTTTTAACCTGGATCTGACCATTATCAGAGAGCCTATCTAATATTTTCTCACATTTTCTATGATCTAGCTACAGTATGTTGGACCATTTATTGTGTTGACGTTACCAAGACATAGAGCTGGTGAATTACATTGATTTCATAATTACAGTGGGGAAAAAAAGTATATAGTCAGCCACCGATTGTGCAAGTTCTCCCACTTAAAATAATGACAGAGGTCTGAAATTTTCATCATAGGTACACTTCAACTGTGAGAGACAGAATGTGAAAAAAAATTCCAGGAATTCACATTGTAGGATTTTTAAAGAATTTATTTGTAAATTATGGTGGAAAATAAGTATTTGGTCACTTCAAACAAGGAAGATCTCTGGCTCTCACAGACCTGTAACTTCTTCTTCAAGAAGCTCTTCTGTCCTCCACTCTTTACCTGTATTAATGGCACCTGTTTGAACTCCTTATCTGTATAAGATATCTGCTTCAAACAGTCAGACTCCAAACTCCACTATGGCCAAGACCAAAGAGCTGTCGAAGGACACTAGGAAAATAAGGACACCAGACTGGAAAGAGTGAATTTTCAATAGGCAAGCAGCTTGGTGTGAACAAATCAACTGTGGGAGCAATTATCAGAAAATGGAAGACATACAAGACCACTGATAATCTCCCTCGATCGCAAGCTCTCATCCCGTGGGGTCCAAAGGATCATGAGAACGGTGATCAAAAATCCCAGAACCACACGGGGGGACCTGGTGAACGACCTGCAGAGAGCTGGGTCCAAAGTAACAAAGGTTACCATCAGTAACACACTACCACGACAGGGAATCAAATCCTGCAGTGCCAGACGTGTCCACCTGCTGAAGCCAGTGCATGTCCAGGCCCGTCTGAAGTTTGCCAGAGAGCACATGGATGATACAGCAGAGGATTGGGAGAATGTCATGTGGTCAGATGAAACCAAAGTAGAACTGTTTGGTATAAACTCAACTCGTCGTGTTTGGATACTGAGTTGCATCCCAAGAACACCATACCTACTGTGAAGCATGGGGGTGGAAACTTCATGCTTTGGGGCTGTTTTTCTGCTAAGGGGACAGGACGACTGATCCGTGTTAAGGAAAGTAAGTAAGTAAGTAATCTTTATTTATATACCGCCTTTTCACTGCAGATTTGAGTCTCAAAGCGGTTTACAATTGTTAATTTTTGGGCATTTGTCTCTCACTCCACACAGAGATGGGAGCGGGGCCAGTACAGGAGGCGCATGCTAGAACTATTGGACATATTTTTAGTGGTAGGGGAAACCGGAGTACCCGGAGGAAACCTACGCAGACACGGGGAGAACATGCAAACTCCACTCAGAAAGGCCCTGGTCCGACCGGGATTCGAACCCAGGACCTTCTTGCTGAGAGGCGAGAGTGCTATCCACTCAGCCACCGTGCCGGAAAGAAGGAATGGGGCCATGTATCGTGAGATTTTGAGCCAAAACCTCCTTCCATCAGTGAGAGCTTTGAAGATGAAACGTGGCTGGGTCTTCCAGCATGACAATGATCCCAAACACACCGCCCGGGCAACGAAGGAGTGGCTCCGTAAGAAGCATTTGAAAGTTCTGGAGTGGCCTAGCCAGTCTCCAGACCTCAACCCCATTGAATATCTGTGGAGGGAGTTGAAAGTCCGTGTTCACTGCTCTCGAGAAGATCTGCATGGAGGAATGGGCCAAAATACCAGCTACTGTGTGTGCAAACCTGGTAAAGACCTACAGTATAGTAACCGTTTGACCTCTGTTATTGCCAACAAAGGTTATATTACACAGTATTAAGTTGAATTTGTGTTATTGACCAAATACTTATTTTCCACCATAATTTACAAATAAATTCTTTAAAAATCCTACAATGTGAATTTCTGGATTTTTTTTTACATTCTGTCTCTCACAGTTGAAGTGTACCTATGATGAAAATTACCGACCTCTGTCATCATTTTAAGTGGGAGAACTGGCACAATTGGTGGCTGACTAAATACTTTTTTGCCCACTGTATAATCAAGGGGTCATTTATTATAACTTTATAAAGCACAAGCAAAAGTATATTCCTGGCCACATATGAGAAAATACAAGTCATATGTCTTTAGGATATCGAATGTATGAGACATATGCACCAAAGGAAACAGGGTATGGAAATTGTACATTCTTACAGAAATATCCCAGCACAACACGTCCTAATAGAAGCTGTGTGTGAAGGGACTGTCCCACTAATAACTGGTTCCAGCCCAAATGTATGTGAGGTTGTCTATTTAGAGCAGCCACTGTACTGTTACGGGGGTAATAAGCACAGGAATGTTACAAAAACACAACTAAGTCACAGACACAGCCTGTAAAAATCATTAAAGACACAACAAAGAGCGAGGCAGGAATGTCTCCACAAACCAAAATACATTGTGCATTCAGTTTGTTTATGAAGTGGAGAAATACTCTGTCATTTATAGCACCGCACATGTTATTCATCTGCAGGACAGTGTCATGTGGGCCGCCTAAACCCAAGTCTCTATTAATCCCACTGGGACAGAGGTACATGTCGATAAAACTGCTACACTCGGCTACAGCGAACAGAAATGCCATTGTGGGAGTTCCCATGTGTCTGCCGGCCCCACGTCACTTCTAACGCTACAATATGAAACACTATTGACTATTTTATCTTCTGTGTTCAGTGTATCAGCTTTAGCAGTCTCTTATCAGGACTCTGCGTCAAATATCCTCACATGAACAACCAGTTTTTAAAATATATTTCAAGCACAGAGAGGACACATTTTTTTGCCCAGTCTGCGTACTCTTTGGAAATCGCAATCAATCATACTTACATATTTTTTCATAATACACGTTCATGTCACATCAAATCATAATGTCTTCATCTTTTTGAATACTAAAGATGTAAGAAAGTGCCCTGTGAGTCACTATTTGACAGAGAGCGGGTGGTCCTCTCTTTTCTGTCTGAAAAAGCTCTGTGAAAAGATGAGAATATGGCTAAACATGAATGCTAGTGAAGAGATATTATTGAAAAGGTGACAGAAAACACGTCAACTATAGCTTGAATCAGGGAAAAATCATCTATAACACCAAATTCAGGCATTTATTAACACATTTTATTTTTGCAGTGTACAATTCTAGCAGCGATTCATTAGACATGCCATCTTAAGCTATTTCATCAAATCATGTGAGACCTCTCCTACCTGATAAACTATTGGATTTCCGCTGTATGTTTGTATTATGTAAAATTAGCAGTGGCATCCATAGCTTGTTTAGCCTTTGGTTTTGAGAGTATGTGGAAAACAGCCAGCCACATCTCTCCTCTGTCCAGTGTCCACATCAATGCATCTCTCCACACAAACACCACTGGATGGGCTTCAAAGGACCAACCAAACGGGACATGTCAATCAACCCGAGCAAAAACGTGCAGTTCAAAAACTCTGTATTCCCAAGACCCGTGTGGACGTAAAATACAACCGTCCGGTCCAATGCATCAGCACCAGTCCTAGTGTCCCCCACCAAACACACACCTCCCACATGCACTTCACATGGATACTTTTTGTTTTTACCGTTGATGTTAAATGAATAATTTCTGGCTTAAATTATACATTTTTTCCCTTGCGGTGCACAACCAAAATTATACAGAGTCTCAGCTATTTTCTGCCCGTTTGAATTGTCTCCTGCATTCTTTTGTCCCAGCGGTGTATTTAGAGTACCACGGCCTTTCTGTAATTAGCTCAGACCAGTAATTAAATGGAAGATATTGTTTATTTCAATTATAAGGGTCGGAAGGCTTTTATAGAAGATGGAAGAAGACCTGTACTTTTGGGCTCGAGAGGCCGAATGGTTAACAGTCATTGTTATTGTGCCACGTTGAAAAAAAAAAAATCAGACCACAAAGGGTCAGTGCAGTGGACATTGAGTTTTTGGAAATTGTAGCTTTCATAACAGGAAAAAGCTGCTTTGCAATCGAGCCGGCAACATATATCTAAGTCGTCCACTATGGTGTGCCTCAACAATGAAAAATACAGAGGAGAAGGGTTTTGAATATGGGTTACAAAAACATATATGTTCTGTATATACCGGATCATAAAAAGATTTTCCATGCCACCGTATTTACCCTGGATTAGCTTTGCAAAGGTCAGACTACATTGTGTTTACTATGCAAACAAGAAAATCTGATTGGATGTTTAAAAAGATAATTAATGTGTGAGGTATGCAGAGTGAATATATTTCCAAAGACACAACAAGCTGAGTGAATGTGTTCCTAATAGCTTAAAGTGCACCGTGTAACTTTTCTGCTCGAGCGTCTGTCAACTTTCTTGCTTGGAGATGAGGTGATATTGTATATGACATTATCTTATCTGGCAGGGCAGTAAACATGTGACTCGCTCTTAGTGAGAAGTAAGAATTCCACATAGAGTTTTGTAACAGAGCAGATCACGGTCGGCCTCTCAGTGACGGACTGAGTATTTGGCCTTGACCATCCTTGGCCTGTCAGCATTATTCATTGGTTTTTTTTTGGTCAACCATCACTGATTTTAGGGCAATTTTGTATTTTTGTTGTTTACACACACAGCACTAAAACCAACATACAAACACACACTGGTCCAGGTCAGCAACACAAAGACGACATGAGTTTGACTTTCCACTATCTGTCAAACGACCCCTCCAGACACCAGCTCACATTACCCCTAATATTTACCAAAGATATTCTCAATGATCAAAGGCTAAAACTGCAGGGTCTCCACTTCACGAAGGGTTCATAAGACAATTTAGGTTGAATTGTATTGATTTTACATGGCTAGTTTAGGAGTGATACAGGGGTAAGTGCAGGTGACAGGGATAATAATGGACAATACTTTGAAACTTGGAGATGGATGACCTGCACCGGATTACAAAGTGTGCCGATAAAAATTCAATAACATTCAATTTCACAATAAGGAAACCATTTGACCATTCCTAATGTTAATGTAAAATCAACCAACAGTAACATAACAAAACGGCCGCGGTCAGTATTAAATCAAGAGACTAATGTTAAATATCAAGCTAAAAGGGTCAATCTAAAAGATACAAAACAGCATCAATTTGAATTGTGTACAAGAAGGTTAAAGAAGGGTCAAACTAACCGGTTTCTTGAATAAAACACACAGTATTATACTAGCTAGAAAGCAACGTTATCAAATATTCACTACCGGTCAATAAGGCATAACAAGTGTTTAAATAAAGATGAGACCTCATGCGAATAATTTACGAGACGTGCTTAAGATCCGGGCGCTTTCCAACAGTGTTATTTTTTATTCTGTCATTGAACCTGATATTGAGCCTGAGCTTGTGGTGGAATAGTGGGTTGGCTGCGGGGTTCCCCTCACTGTCTCCAACCTGGAAATGCTTTGGAAGACGCCCCAGACTGTTGCGACCATTAGGACTTCTCCCAGCTCGGGACAATAGTATTTCAGTGTGCATAGGCTAAAACTCTTTTGTGTGGATGGGCAAACGCAGACATGAGCCAAGCCACCAGCCAACCACATCAAGGCATGTCTCTGGGAGGTGGAATTTTAATGTGGAAATGGGAACAATGATTTGGACTTTTAACTGTGGACACGAAGCAGAGCAAGAGAGGAGCAGACCAAAAAATGATGGATCAATTATTAATGCATTTGGCGTCGCGCTGAGAGCCTGCAAGCCGCCACGCGAACATGTCCTCTGTCTGCAGTCGGACGCTGTTTATCGTCATGGAGAGGCACTTGTTTGTCAGGCTTATTCACGCGTTCACTTCCACCCTGCTGGTCATTAGAGCTATAAATGTTATGTTTTCAGACGCGGAAAGGATTCACACCGATCGCCACTAGAGGATTTGAGGCTCTGCGTGAGACATTAAAATATATGAGAAACAGACAGAACCAAAAGGAGGAGGAAGGCACTTTTTTCCATCATAAAAGAAACTTGAGTATTTTATGCCAAGTCTTTAAAAGTTCTTTATGGCAGCTATCATTCATATAATAGACATAGCACTTTGACAGGTCAAAGTATGGCTTTTGCACACGCTGATGTCATACCACTTAACGTAAATAAAACTGTCTGAAATATGTGTATGTAATTTCAAAACGTTTACTAACTTTCTGTGTCATATTGTACACGAGCTAAATAAAGAAATTCTAAACATAATTCTATTGGCTAATAATATTAAATCATATAGAACCTAACCCTTTTTTTCTGTTAGCTAGACTTTTGTAAAAGTAAAATGTTTTGAACAAATCAGACACTTCAGAAAATATCTTTTGCGTACTTTGAGTCACTATTTGCTGATTGGATAAATGATTCTTTTCACTTTTCTGTGTGAAAAAACTGATCTAGAAATGACAATACATACACAATGAAATTCAGTGTATGTATTGTGAGCAATACATACACGGTTATGAGAGCAAGGGACAATTTAAATGCTGTTATAAAGTTAAATGTGTTTGTTGTTTAAAAGTTAGGTACACCAGCTTTAAGACTACCATTCACTACACTGCCTCCTCAGACTAAATGCTGCCCTTGGGGTACAGCAGTTTCATGACGGCCCACCTCAGGGCTCTGTCTGGGTGTAAAGGAAGACTGTCTGGTAGTTGGTCTGAATAAAAGATACAATATTCCCACTTACTCACGAGACAGGAGGAATGGAATTATGAACTGAAAAAAAGAACCAGGGGACAAAGAGACAGTGAGGGGGCTTCAGGACCCGTCTGGATCTCATTTGGAGGATAGTAATGTGATTAGTTTTGTTTAGTTTTCACAGTTCCCGCCAGCCCCCCAAATAACTGAATAGGCTTGTGTGTTGTGATGATCTTGTTGCAGTTTTTAAAATTCATGGGCAGTAGGAGATATCTCGCCAAATACTTTGCATCTACAATATATTAGAGTCAGTTAGATCACATGACATTTGTGTTGTTTTTAGACTTTCAATATTTAAAAATGCTCTCCTTTGGTATAATAAGACGATTAAATGTTTTTTTGGGGACATTTCAGAAGATTTACATGTCATTAGTCATTATCACATAGTGGTAGCAGTAATATAAGCTACTGCTGCCACAGCTGCCCTGGGGGAGACTGGCAGAAGTGAGGTTGCTTTTCTGAAGTCTCTTGCTTTTGGACACAACAATAGTTTAATAGACTAACAAGAAGATCAGATATAATATCAATATATTAATGAAGATAGCTTCTTAAAGAGAAACACAACCAACTTCCAAATCTTATCGCATCTCATGGACGCTCAGAACTGTTTCAAGAGTTCACTTTAATTATATTAGAAATGAATAGAATACAGAATGTTAACTCAGTGGCGCAGTGGCTGAGTGGGTAGCACTCATGCCTCAGAGCTAGAAGGTTGTGGGTCTGATTACTGTGCCTGTCCAGACATGTATCTACATACATCTGGGAGGGTTTCCTCTGGGTGCTCCAGTTTTACTCACTAGAAACATGTACCGTAATATCCTCCAGCTCTTGTAGTCCTGACCAAGCCGAGTATCAACATCTGGAGATGGGTTCTCGCACTGCACTGTGGCGACTAATTACTCCCAACTATGGATGAATCAACCAAATACATTTTCATATTGAAGTAGGCTTTTAGCTTTCTGTTCATTTCATGAAAAGGTGCTTTTATATCTTTTTCTTTTACAACTTGTTGTGGTGTCACATTTCAACATGTGCAGACTGAGACAGATAATTCTCACAGCTGCCTGTTCTTTGCAAATTTCTAGCTTTACCATAGCTTGGAAGGGTCTGTGGGCTAGATATAAACGTGAAATGTACCGTATGTGTCCCTTGGGCCGCGATTTTCTCTCGACTCACAAAGATTGATAAGAAATGAAAAGCACAGCATCTCTAACTCTGATTTATCTGTTGGTGCCACAGGGATCATCAAAGTTGGACGGTGGAACCCTTTGCCCATCCACTTCCTCACAGACGCCCCGGAGGCAACTGTGGCCGACATGTTACTGGACGTGTACCACATGGTCACACTGCGTATCCAGATGCAGAGGTCAGTACCATTATGCTAAATCATTAATTTGAAAAACCTCTCAATTAAGAAAAATATGTAGACTTGTGCGGTCAGCCTGTGCGTGTGAATCCTCGGGGTAGTCGATGTCATGCCAATAATTGCAGCCCATGAATTAAATGTAACTATCACATTTGAAAGCCACAATTTAGAAGCAGCAAAGTAAAGCACTCCAGTGGGGATTTCTCTATTATCTGTGTAGTCTGGGCAGGCGTGTGTGCCAAGAGCAGCCAGAGTCCAAAACTATGACTGAAGCGTGTTCGATGGACAGATAAAAAACAGATTAACTCGAGATGAAAACATAATTGTTGTTATTTAGGAATGAGCCAGCAGGTTTGTTTACACATGTGTGAGCTCATTTCCATAGTGTTGTTGAACCGTTGCCAAAACGTTTCACATCTGGTGGAAAAAGTACTGTATTTGATTGTTTATAGACTAACCGGTGCTAGGGTTCAATTAAAAGTATTGCATATATACACCTAATTCGCTGTCTGTCTGTAGTAATCTGTAAAGCATTAAGGAAGTTGAGGTAGTGTGTCTATCATGAGGTGACTTTACAGTTTAATGTAGCTGTATTTTTGTTTGCAGTTTTTCAAAGCTGGAGGACCTGCCGTGTGAACAGTGGAACCATGCGACTGTCAGAAATGCTCTGAAGGAGCTTCTAAAGGAAATGAACCAAAGCAGCCTGGCCAAAGCCTGTCCGCTGTCACAAGTAAGGACACATAATGCTTGTTTATTCACTTTAAAATGAGTGATTAAAATCATGTATTTAAGAGGAATCATGAAATGTACATTTTAAGCTCCCAACTTTCCAAACGTTTATAAAAGAAAAAAATTATTAAGAGCCGGTTTTCAACATAACTCATTGACTGCCATTGACATACTGTATTTGTCTGAGACGGGTGATTTCTGACAAACATCCCTCTTTTCGACTGGCAATTACAGGAGAACAAAACTAACTAGAAACAAAGTTATTTTTGCTGATGAAAGTAGACAGTCCAGTCTTTCAGAATCTGGTTTTATATTTCGTACAGTCATAGCCCACAATATTCTGTGGGTCTTGAAAATCAGTGCATTTATCAAAAAGTGATGCAGGGACTAAATGTTTGTATAATTTTCTGATTGATGCATTGATCAAATAAGTAGTAAAAAAAGCGACTTCTTATGTACCAGTCGGAGTGCCTCAGGTCAACTTCACAGTCCAGCAAGGGATTTTTCTATCTGTATTCTGTCCTAACTATTGACGCGCACCTGTACCGAGAGGAATCCATGGAGCCAGTGTATCTCTCTCCTCCTCTTCCTCCTCCTCCTCCTATCCTAATAATAATAATAATAATAATAATATTGATAAGTTAAACACAGCAGCTAAAGTGAGGAGGCTGTTGTATCCCACATGCTTGTTTGGCCACATCCTGGGCCCGTAACGACTTGTATGTGAGATTTATGCCTGTGTTTAAATGGAGCACTAGTGGGGTGTTGATCGCAGAATCAATTGCTAGCATATGCGTGTGTGGCTGGAGATTCCCGCTCTGTGCCGCACTGCCTCAGCTTTCCATGGGTGGCTTCCAGTCGTGATTAATGTTTGTCTATTGCTATTGTGGGTGTGTGTGTGGCCGTCTATTTATTACATTAGAGGGACGTAAAAGTGTTTATACAGCAACATGCCCCATAGGAACAAATTCATTCCTCCATAACCTAAGAGAGTTTTCTAATTTTGTTCAGATAGTTTGTGGTCAGACCGTACGTAATAAATGCTAAGTGATGTTCTCTGAATGTTTGGAAAATAAGTTTTTATGGATGTCATTAAATGCTATTTTGTGTTTTCCTCTCTTCCTCAGAGTATGATATCCTCCATCGTCAACAGTTCCTATTACGCCAACGTCTCAATTTCCAAATGTCAGGAGTTTGGTCGCTGGTACAAGAAATACAAAAAAATTAAAGGTAAGCCCCACATGTAACCACAAGGTTGGTTTAATCATTGGAAAAAAGTCTAGTACAGTAGCCTATCAGAAGAACAGCAAACAGCTTGTGTGTGTTTTTCAGTGGATTATCTGGAGAAGATGTGGTCTGGACGTGAGCATGCTGACATCAAAAGTAAGTGAAATATTGAACTTATTATTCATGTTGGAGTCCTCCTCTGACCCATCTCTATCCACAGTCGAGAGAGACAGTGTAGCAGACTTCTGTGTGGTGGGACAGCGCCCCCCTCCTCACCTGGCTGGCCTGACGCAGCTCGGACACCTGGGAGCAGGAAGTCCTCTGCTCAAAGGAGGGTCCGAGGTGCAGAGCCCCACTCAGCCGCAGCCTCCCGCCCCTCCTACTCAGCAGCCTTCTCCCCATGGGCCGCTGCACCACAGTGGGCCTCTCCGCTCAGGACAGGTCCCTCCGCCTCCCCCCGGAGCTCTGCAGCCTCTGCTGGGACCAGGAGGCCTGCTGTCCCCTCAAGTCTCCCCTCAGCTGGTGCGGCAGCAGCTCGCCATGGCACATCTCATTAACCAGCAACTGGCTGTGAGCCGCCTACTCGCTCACCAGCACCCACAGACCATCAACCAGCAGTTCCTCAACCACCCACCCATCCCCCGTGGCTCCGGCAAAACATCTGACCACCTGGGGAGCAACCCCTCGGCCTCAGAGGTGTCCTCTGACATCTATCAGCTGGTCCGGGACGAGCTGAAGAGGGCCAGCGTGTCCCAGGCTGTGTTTGCACGCGTGGCTTTCAACCGGACACAGGTAGAACCACCTCTAATGTTTGAAAAAAAGCACAACATAATAAAATAATCTATTACAATTTAAATTTTAAGTAAGCATTTTAAAAAGGTTTAAGTAGGTTTAATTTTTGGACTTTAAGTAAGTCTAAAGATTCTTAAATAAAAATACACATATTGAAAATTGTAAATCAGGTTTATAGAACTATTAGATCGTGATGAATAGTCATTTGCCATAATCCACCTGCGTTGAGCGGAAGCGTAGCAGGACATCGAGTTGGATCATTTAGTCTTGTTTCCCAGCCTCAAACACCTGATGTATTCATGCTGTGCTGGTTTCTACACGCCCCATTAGACCAATGTGATAAAAAGAGACCACCTTCAGGCAGGTGCTGCTGGTGCGTCACTGTACAGTGGCTAATTCAGCACCTGTATATTAGTGAGGCCTGTGCTCATCTGAGTCCATGTCCTGTGGTGTGTGCTGTCCAGGGCCTGTTATCAGAAATCCTCAGAAAAGAAGAGGACCCTCGCACAGCCTCGCAGTCTCTGCTGGTGAATCTCAAAGCCATGCAGAACTTCCTGAACCTGCCTGAGGGCGAGCGAGACCGCATCTACCAGGAGGAGAGAGAGAGGACCATGAACCCCTCAGTGGGACTGCCTGCCTCCAATTCAAACTCATCTGGGCCAAGAATGTCACAGGTAGCTCCTCCTACCGTATGTAATAAAGCCATCTGACCACTGCAAAGTGGATCTGACTGGAGGCTTCTGCCTCTTGAGTAGAGTAGTCCTTCACATAACCAACTGGTGCTTTATTTATAACAAATTCTCCTTATGTTTTGTGTGTGTAGAAAGTGTGGGAGAGGAGTTTGGACGACCAGATAAACCCTGATACCTGGGCCTCCATTTGGAAGAACAAGACTAAGATATCCAACTCGGTACATAATCTTCTATCAGTAACTTACCATTAGAGCAGAACACAGCACTTCAGCTTGAACAAATTCCATTTATAATGGAGAAAAACTTGAAAGCTATCCTAAGGCCATATTGTAAACACAATGACATGATGCAGTATTTGAGAAGTCTTATGAATACAAAATTATAGAGTTGTCAGTGATAAGCAGTGCTTTTGTCGGGGCATTGCCCATTCAAGGCCATGGCTGCATTTGGGAGCCACTTTTATTATGTCTCTGAAAAATTATCTGAGCATCGTTTACTGGGAATGTAAGCTCACTGGCCTGTACTTGTCTTGTGGACAACATCAAACAGTGTGTATACAAGCATTTAGAGGGCCAATACATGTTCATTCAAACCAAAACATGAAAGAGGACAAAAGAAAAGGACTTAATTACTTCGATCTGTAAACTAGACCAGCGCAGAGCAGATGTGCTCATATGAGGTACATTTATGTCTGTTTGGTCTGATCATGAGCTGATAACATCACCTCATCTATGTAAACAGGAGAGGCACTCCTGATGAGGAAACACTTAGTCGTTCGTAATATATACTGTATGTAATGCATCCTTTAATGATCACTTTGAGTGCTTTTATGTTTCTCCCTCTCAGTTATCTCATGCAAGAATCTTAAAGCATGTTAAATCTCTAACTTTTGTATTTGGATACTTGCAGCCAAAGCAGCCGGGCCCAGGATCAGACCTGCCAATAAAGCTGGAGTCTTTGGTCAACATTACATCAGGCATTTACGAGGAGATTCAGCAGGAGATGAAGAGGGCCAAGGTGTCTCAAGCACTGTTCGCAAAAGTGGCCGCCAACAAGAGTCAGGTAAATATTCCATTTATCTCACAATCTCCACCCAAACTATGTCACGGCAAAATAACTTCAAAATACATTCACCTTTGCATTGATAGATCAGTCCTAGAAAAACTGTATCCAAGATAAAATACTGATATCCAGTTTTGTCTTATTCTGTATACAAGCTGAATACAGAATCATCTCACTCACGTTGGTGCAGCTTCAACCTAAACTATGTGTATATCAAGATATGAACATGAAGAACTTTCTCAGGCACATGCCAGTCACACCCTGTACTAAACCTTTTCCATCAATCTGTCAGAGCACATTGTAAAACTGGAAACACATTGTCAAATGAGTCCAGCATGCTGATGAGAAGTAAATGAGACACAGGGCCAGGCGCACGGAGGTGCACCAGGGCTGCATCGTTCACGCAGTTCATTCATTTCTGATGATTTGACATTTCTATTATGGCTTTTCTGCCATAGCAGGTGGCCATGTGTGACATATTTGAATAAAAAATTATTTTGTTTAAATTTTACTCTTGATCTACATTTATACACAGGTTTTTTCCCCTGTTCATCAAGTAATTGTACTTGCCTCCTATAGGCATATAATCAGCCTCACATGGATTCAAAAGTATTCACTAATATGTCTCTACCAGGATACCTTACTGTCTTCCCAAATGTTTTGTTTCACAGAAAGAGGCTTGTTTTATAAATTCAAACTTTAATCCACAGCACACTTGTAAGAAAAAACACTATTTTATATTAGAAAGCGGATTGGCTGAGCATTAGTGGTGCTCTTTCACTTTTTATACCTATAAAGCTTATTTGAGGCTGTGGCAGAAGCCAAAAATACATGCATGTGGGAATCTAGTGATAGAAGCAAAATATTTTGAGAGATGTACGGAACTAGATGGATTGTATTACATAGTAAATATTTTTGTGGTTTAAAGTGTGGTCCCCTAGCTTTAACCATACAGTGATGAAGAAAGATGGCCATAGCAGCACAACTTAACATGTGTAAGCGTGACAAAGCTTCTACATACTTGTGTGGTTCGCTGTGTCCCATAGGTTTTGGAGGGTCTGGGGTCACGGCTCACTGCACCCATCTGCTAAATCTGGCCACAAAGACAGTGAGAGAGAAGGAAACAAGGCCGTGAGAGATGATCAGGCTATTAGCTGTGCATGGCGGCTGGCTGAACACAACAGCTGGTGTCACCAACCAAGCCAGTCGAGCACATATAATTGAATCTTCTCAAGCCCCGATCTTCGTCTTTCCATCATTCCACACTTGAAATATGTCCAACTATTGCATTCTATTTTCCTTTAAAGGACCAGTATTACGGAGACGTGTTTGAGACGGGTTTGGTAATAATCTTGTGTCTGTCTGGATTTCTATGCAGTTTTTGTACTTGATGAAAATAAAAGTGTATTAATGTGAGAATGGATCGAGAAGGGACAAAAGTTTATAATTAAAATTTTATTTGAAGGCTGTTGCAAGCCTAATAACAATTGAATTGAGATTGCATTTTGTCTTCAATTGCAATTAAGATTAAGATATTAGTTCTAATTAGAAAATCACAAAGACTGCAACGACCAGAATATATTTGGTCCAAGTTGTTTTTTTTTTGACGAAATACAATGTACCCATGGTAAATTATTTTTCTGAATCATAGTTCATCCAGATATTGTTGGAGTAGTTACACTGAACTTTTCAAAAACACAAAATCACAATCGCAGTGTTTGACAGAAAAAATGCCATCATGTAATTTGCCAAAACTGTGCAGCCCTCTGATTTGAACATTATATAAAATTATCTCCAGCTTCTAAATACATTCAGTCAGAATCAGATTTCATGTCGAAGCATACAGCTCTTAGTTTTCCAAGGTTGTTTTACTTTTGAAACTTCTAATGGAGTATTCCGATGTTAAACAATAATGATGTTATTGATTGTAAATAACTAAACCTCCATCCATCCATCCATTCCATCCATCCATCCATTTTCTACCCTTTAATCCATTTCTGGGTCAGGGGGGTGGCAGTCAGAGATGCCACCCAAGTCTCATAGCACCAGCCCCTCACTGACCCTCTGCAGGTGGTGAGTCCACAGGAGGACGGCTGCTCTCTGAGTGTGAGCATAGCCTTGATCTTTCAGTTGGGGCGTTGGGCAAAGTGGGGTTAAGTGTCTTGCCCAAGGACACAACGACAGCAGTCATCAGTGGGAGTCATAACTCCCACTGATAACTAAACTAGAGAATAATTAAACCTCTCACGTTAAATGAGTAAAGTCCCTCTAAGCAGCTGTCGTTCTGCTGCAGGGCTGGCTCTGTGAGTTGCTGAGGTGGAAGGAGAACCCCAGCCCAGAGAACAGGACTCTGTGGGAAAACCTGTGCACCATCCGTCGGTTCCTCACGCTGCCGCAGCCCGACCGGGACATAGCCTACGAGGAGGAGTCCCGGCACCAGCACTCCGAGAGGCTGCACACAGTACTGCATCTGCCCCAGGAGCCTCCGGTGAGAACCACAACCCAACACTACATATAATCTTTACTGTCTTCAGTCCACTTCCTTTATGCTTTGTTGAGACCTTTTCTCATTCAAAAAATACAATAACTTGTTTGGAATTGTAAAGCATGATGGTAATGACAATTTTTCTTTATGTTTATTTTTTTTAAACTAGGCATGCATGAATTGAAATAGCTATACATCAGTAAAACAAACACACATCACACAAAAGAAACAAAATAGGTCTTAAGACTTAAGATGCAACACTTTTAGGGCAATAATCCATGAAGTTGTCTCAAATTTGATTGGTGAAGTATCAACTAACCATAAAGTGGAGACTCATCCCTTCATAGCCTTAATCAAAAGATCTATAACAGGTTTAGTACATAAGATTCAGCTCTATTTTATTTATTTACAGCTCTACAACTTGACCACTGTGCCTTGTATATCCCAAATTTCGCCCAATGGCTTGTCTTACATTGTCCAATCATCTATTCAACTGGCCGCGCAAACCGCACCAGTAAATATTAATTTCTCACAACATCTCTCTCCTTTCTGAGTGTATGGAGCCGTGTTTGATCTCGGTGTGCGTGCGGCCTGTTTGTGTGTCTCTGCGTGCCCTGGCGGAGCGTAGAGTAAACACTGGAGCTGGGTGGTGTGGCACAGGAGGAAATGCCCCATTAGTTTTTGAGGAGAATTTGGAGCAGAGATGGGGGCTCCGAGGCTCTGCTCCGGGGCACGAACAATCGCCTAATGGGCATTCAGTCTGACGCATTTATTCAAGGTTCAACAACTCATTTTGACGGACAGTATACGCTTGTAGCTGCGGCCAATCCACACGCAAACAGATCAATGACAAATGATTAGCTTTATAAAAGGACTCGGGGGAGAATACTTTAGTTTCAGCTTTAAAATGTGTCTATAATGTGTCTGTATTGTCATAACTTTGGCGTACAAATGCAGTGATGGATGAAAAACACTTTGTTTTCGCTCCATTTTGTTCATGTTTTGTTATGATTCATTGCAAAAGAATGAAACATACTTTTAATTCATGTTTATGTAATCTTGACACAATTGTTTGATCACATACCAAAATTAGTTCCTATTTTATATAAGTTGTAAACTAAAAACCACAAAAATAAATGGCAATGTATTCCGAATACAGTGACCCAAAAATAGTATGAAAATTGTAATGCCTCGGCCTCCCTTTTGTTATTAAAGCTCAAGCAAAGTATTTGTCCTATCTGATTATGTATTCCTGGTACATGTGTTATGGTACTTCCCAACACAATGTATAAACTTGTATTTAGATAATTCATATATTCAAACCAAAATGTCTAATATTTAAAATTACAATAACTTATTGTCTTTCTGTTTGTCAAATGCCAGACAAAAGATTGCTGCCTATTTTGTTCCCAGTTTGAAGCTAAAGTGCTGATATTCAGTGATGTTAATATCCTCGCCACACTGGCCCACCACATTCTCATGAGGCACATAGGCAAGGCACGCTGTGAAAACATATGTTCAGGTTTTATGAAGAAAAAGCTTTGAATAACAACTGTTGTAAAAACACAACTGTTTTCATTGGTTGCGCATGAGGAAGAAGTGTGTTTTCATTAATACTAAAGAAGCGGAAACAAAGACAGTAGCAAACGGGAGGTCAAACCACACAGTGACGCCTTACACAAGGACTGTAATCCCAGGTCACCCAGTGGAGAGCTTCCCAGCAGCCCACCCTGCTCCACAGGACTATTATATCCCACATATAGAACATGCCACAAACTATAAATCATAATCGCTCTACAACTTCCCGTTACCAATCTCCAAACTTGTTTTCCCTGGCCCCGCCCACTGAGGCCTTCCCATTCTTGTATTAGAGTCAGTGATGGGAAGACGCGGCGGAAGCTGTGGTGGCACCATTAACACATTCCTCCCTCCACCAATCCACGGCAAAAATACTAAAAATAAAGATTAGCCTCGTGTCAGCCTTCTTGGATCCAAACCACACGCGGAGATGAGCTGCGGTAGTGATTTATTAATGGAGAAAGAGGTGTGCATACAAGTATATAAATATAATCATGGCTCTTTAGACCCCCCAGTCCAACCTCAGGCTCCAGCCGGCCTGCCACCATAGACCACACATGTGTCCCATCTGCCACACATGCATTTATGCTCCCAGGCCAACACTGATAGCTGGTAATAAGAGCATGTTATTGTGTGAGGACAATGAAATGGTGCAAAACTACAATAAGGCAAGGCAAGTGTATATATTCAGCACAGTTCATACACTTAATATGCTTAACAAAACAAGAAAGAAGGGTATCAGACTAAATTATTACAGTACATTAAAAAGAGTGAAGGTACAATCTTTAAATTGTCAGCACAGCTTCACAGAACTGTTTTAATCTGGATTTGAACATTGTCAGATTATAAGCCTGTCTCATATTTTTATGAAGACTGCTCCGAATTTTAACGGCATGCCACACAAAATATATCTAAAAATATTCATATACACATATTTGTTCAGAATAAATAGTGGGAAAACTTTCTGCACAACATTTCCATAAAAATGTGATAATATCTTCACATCAGTAACTTCTGTAGAATGTCATGAGTCCACAGCTGGCACTGTCCTGGTGCACGTGTTAAATGTGCTTTAGTTAAAAAAGTCCCACAGCTGATTTAGCAACATTTGCATTTATGAATTATTTGTGTATTGCTGAATTTTGTTCACATGCTCTTTCATATACAACATGTGTGTGGCTTTTTGCCCTTATGTGTGGTGGAAAGGATCAGTGTAAATATATCGCCTGTTCAGTATTATGAGAATACAATACATGGATAATTCAAAATTCATTTAGAAGCTATATCATTTCAGTAATACATAGATTGTGGTTACTCCTTACGTGATACATACACAGGAAGCCAAGAAATAACTAGAATGCTGAAGGTAAAAAAGTAATTTCCAGATAATCATATCTTAACCAGACCATTAGCAACTTATTGTGCGCTAACCAATAATGTTCCATCCGTATTTTGGCACGCTCTGGACAGTGACCACAGATTAATAAATCTAAATGTAACTGTTTCCTATGACTCCAGTGTAGGAGTGTCTGTGTGCGTCCTGGTGGCCTGTTTTATCGTCACTGGGTGGAGTGTAGGCTCTTTGGGAAACCACAATTAACTTAATTGTTTAATTGTAGATAAAGAGAGTAATACCACACACAGTTTGGATGAAAAAGAGTGGAGTCACGAGCAGATGTCAATATAATCACACAGGAAGAAACATGCACAAGGCCGACTGCAAAAAAAAGTTTCTGAGTTTGCATCACTCGACAAAAAGTTAGACAAAAAGGAGAATTTATTTTATAATTTGATTCGTCAGCCTCACATGAATGATGAATATTAAACCACAAAATAATGCTAAAGATTAAAAGGTCTAAGTATTAATCTGATGGTTTTTTTCTTCATATTTACAAATTACAGATTAATTTAATATCACAATTAGAAAAAATGTCTATCTAATTAAAAAAAAAATCAAATTTGAAGTAAGTAATGTGAAGACCACAGAATTCCAAAACTATACATTTTTTGACAACATTGGTAAAAAGCCATTGACAGATAATTGTTTTTTTCTCAAAAAAAAAAACCGTATAATGTCTTTGTTATCATATAATTAAAGCCCATACAAATATTGCTTTTGAGTACTTTTCCACTTCATACAAAATGCATTATTTTTAAGTAACATCTTGCTTTTAATTAAGCACGTACTACTTATTCCTCCTCTGCTTCAGCGCATGTATAATCCAAACAAACACACTCAAATTAACAGAAAAGGTGAAGTCATGCACAAAACTGAGAAGTGATTTTCTGACTTCATTACATATTTATCTGCGTGTTAATGGTGTCCCCAGTGGTCACAGCATTTCCTTGCTCAGACCACAAAATGCACTGAACTAAAGCTAAGGCCCACGAGGATTACAGCTCATTAAGGAGACAATGAATACTTTATAATGTATAATTCTTTCATAATTCCGTGCAGTAATTTGCCGTGATTTGAAGAAACTAGCTCTTTATTACAGTTTTATCTGAGGTTAAAAAACAAATCATACAAAGAGAAAAAAGGCTTGCTTTTATCGCTGCTTTTGCATGGACACAAGCAGGTGACCAAACGAGAATAGAACAGTATCGGAACTCTGCAGGTGGTGGCGCTGCATAATGGACAAACATGTGCGTTAAATATATTTTTAAATTCTCTCCATTTGTCCAGATCGATTTCCTCCAGAGAAAGTTGTAGGAAGAATGTGTCTATTGACTGACCTGTTGGCAAACGGCTGCCAACGCTCTTGTTCAGTTCAAACTGTAATAATATAACAGTGCAGTGTGTGGTGACGGCAATAGTACAGTCAATGATATCAAACTTTATCCAACTCAAATAGACCATAAAATTAATATGATATTTCAATATTTTACTTCTCCATTCAAGTTTCAGTATTTCATCCATTAGTTGCATATATGATCCGCTTTGGGGGTCTGTAAAAATAGAAGTGTATTTCTGGCTTGAGTGAGTGAAATGTTTGGAGAAAAAGATTGTGGTGGTGGTGGAGGTGGAGGGGTGAATCCTGGCATTCAGTGGTTTAGGGCTGATTTGGACCTGGAGTCATGTTGACTTGGCAGAGGCCCACTTCATTAGTGTCCTGATGCATTAGAGTGAAGGGGGAGGAGGGCAGGGGTACCAAGATGGCCGACAGACGCAAGAAAATCTCCCAATAAGAAAAGGCCCTGGGTGAAAAGTAGCTCTCTGACATCATCATTAGGCCATGACACAGAGCAGGCCGGTGCGTGTGGTTGTGCGTCGATTGATCCAAGAGTCATTCCCGTCAGCCTGAATCAATCCTGGAATGATGGGGCCCCATGAGTGAGAGGTCCAAGTTTCACAACCTTTTCCTATTTACCACCAATTTAGTTATCAAGTGCCTGGATGTGTTTGTGCATGTGAACACTTGTGGCTGTGTGGCCCTCATTAGTTCATTGTTTTTGGATTATTTTGGTATCACTCCATAATATTTATAACAAGCATAAAATAAGTGGGAGAGAAAAAGAAAGTCAAAGCTAAAAATGCAGTAGATTCCTGTAAATTGTCTGGCCCCCAGTAAAACATAAAGCCCTTGTGAATAAAATTGGAGCAATTTCATGGTTTGGCCGGCCCTCAATATTATTTAAGTAATACCCTGTTATTATTGAATAGAGGGGGAGAAAAACGAATGACTATTATCTTTATGTGGGTCCTTTAATTTTAATGCACCACAGATTTATAGCTGGGCATTCCAGTGGGAGGCCCCTCCCTGCTGTTAAAGCAGAGGGCGGGACACGACCACAGCGCTCTCACAACAGCCACTATAGACCTCCGACAAACAAGTCCCCATGTTCTCCTCCAGCCAGTCCCACCATTATTGTCACATATTAGGCTACAGCCTGACAGACGGCTGCTCTATGCTTGATTGGCATTTTTCATGGCATGGCATTTTTCCTCAAATTAAAACTTGATGAAATTATGATATAGGATATACATTCATCGTATGTAAGTAGAAAAAAAAAATCACAATTTACGTATGTGATACAGCCGGAAGGACTGTACAAACTTTTCATTTTGGTGCCATTTGTAAAAAGTCTCCACACACCAAATGAGCGACAGGTGCGATCATTGTCAAGTGAAAAACGTTGCAATAAACTAGAAAAGCGTGAGACAGAGTGCAGGTGCTTTTTTATTCTACAGTTGGTGTGATTTGAAAAACTCATCTTGAATTATATCTAATCAAACCCTCCGTTGCTAATCCAAAGCTTGAACTTACTCTCCTCCTTGATAACTACATTCATGTGTCCTCAGTCCCCCTCTACACTTGGACCCATTAGTGTTGTAGGGCCGGTTAAACAGTAATGGGGTGTCAAAAGCCCGTAAATGAGACACTTCCTGGATGACAGCTGGTTGGCAATTTACTAGAGCTAATCTTATACACATTAGGTCAAAGGTAGAGTGGACCGAGCAGCCTTGGACCTGCTTAATAGACTGTGACGATCTACAACACTTTTCTCACCCAGTCTTCCACCTGCAGCACTGTGGCTACTGTGTGACTAAGACCTGTGGGTTAGAGGGCTTCAATTTAGCTTTGTCATGGTGCTAAAATGTAGAATTATTTGAACCATAAAGCTGGTGTACCTAACCTCAAAACCACATAAAACTGTAATAAAATCCATCAAACTATTGTTCCTCGCTCTCAAAACTGTTTGGATCTATCACTGGTTTCCATGTGCATGTTTTTGGCTTTTAGATCAGCTTTTTCAGTCAGAAAAGTGAGACATTTGTACAACCCTCACTCTCAGTCCGCTCTCAGCTAAAAGCGTTAAATCGTGAATCACAAGGCTTTAACATGTTTTAAAATAACATATGACTATAATGTCGTGGCTTGATGTGTTCATAATATTTTACATTTACCCTGATGACAATGAAGGTAGTTCTTTCATAATAATCACAATGACTGTAGAAAAAGACTTTGGACTTTTGCTGAATAAAACTGTGCTCAACTGTGCTCAAGATAAATCTCCAGTTAAAAGTAGATTTTTTAATTCATTATTTCAAAGGATTATTTCCAAATTCCACTTTTCAATCCCAGAGTGCAAAAACACACACCATGGAAAGGAGATTAGGTTAGGTTTTTTTTTATTCTTGTCATGAAAATGCAGTAAGTAACAAGTAACATTTTTTTTTTCTCAATTCCATGAAGTTAAGATATACTCTATTGATCTCACAATGAAGAAATTCAGTACAAACAGCACAAACTTAATGTCCAAGAAACCTCTATTGATTTGTGTGTGGAAATCATTTTTTGTGAACAGCCTAAATAATTGTGTTGTGTTGATCAGGGGTCACTGTGCCCCATTAAATCAGTTCTTTCACCTGTCCCCCCAGGCGCTCCACCGGCCTCCCCCCATCCCCATGAAGGAGCACTGTATCTCCCCCATGAGAGAAGAGGCCCTGTCTGCTCCAGTGACAGACGAGGCAACACAAAACGTGGTAACGGCACCGACCGCAAACACCGGGGCCTCAGCGGGAAGCAACAAGAAGCCCCGATCACGGACTAAGGTAGATTTCACAACAAATCAATATTATTATGTTATGTGGAACGGTGGTGGGAATATGACAGTAGTGAGCAATATGTGGGCCTAGGTGAATATTTATATTAACCACCAACCATAGATATCCTCTTTTTAGCTAAATTGTTGTCATGCGAGGTCTGCCTAGACAATTGTAAATGTTTGAAGCGGCAACATACTTCCTCATTTTTGGATTTTTTTTTTTTTTCATTCTGTTGTGGAGAGAAATGCTTTGACCTTAGAGCAAATGACATTATAATTAGAAGAATTGCTACACAAACACCTAAATCCAGGGCACTATACTGTATATAAAGCGAGTTGGCCTCCCACAAATGGCTCTCTGAATTTTTCTAACATAAATTTCTCCTATGTATTTCTGTTAATCATTCAAGTAGTCTACTCTCTAATCAGGTTACAGGGTGTCACCGTTTGTCTATTTCACATAACTGTTAAAAAAAAAGGCGGGCGCCAAAAGGATTAATATTATCTTGAATCAAATTTAGTGTGGTGAGAATATCAAAAGTGGATTATCAAAGCTCTAAAAGACTATTGCGAAGCCAATGATAGTCAGGGTGACGTCTACAAAACCACGGCCCAATAACTTGTCTTTGTTCCATTTTGATTCAGATCTCTCTAGAAGCTTTGGGAATTTTGCAAAGCTTCATCCAGGACGTGGGCTTGTATCCAGACCAGGAGGCCATCCACACATTGTCTGCTCAACTGGACCTTCCTAAGCACACCATCATCAAGTTCTTCCAAAACCAGCGCTACCACGTCAAGCACCATGGCCGCCTCAAAGACCTGGCCGAGGGAGCTGCCAGCGGGGGAGTGGACGTCAGCGAGTATCGTGAGGAGGAGCTGCTCTCTGGTTCAGAAGACCCCGAGTCCAGTGAAGACGGAGCGGAGGAGATCTACCAGTCCAACGACGGGAGTACTGCAAGTGTCGGGGGGCCACCTGCGTCGGCTAACTCCAACTCTAATCAGTCCAGTGGAGGTCAAGAAGAGGGAAATGACAAGGGCAGACCAGGAGCACCGATGGGAAGCAGCTCCTCGTCAAGTCCAAGAGAGCAGGGCGACTCGGATTCGCTAACCGTTTTACAAAACCGATCTCATCCTCCAGTACAGGAAGCCAATCGGTATCCACAGTTATCGCCATGTCAAATCAGGACTCGCTCTGAGCCCTTAGCATAAAATTTACCCCAGCATCTCATCGAAAGAGCTTCATTTGTTTTACTCAGAACTGTCTTCAGGCAGAAATCATGACTCTTTGTTGTGGTAAAAGTCAATTGCTGTATGGACCCCGATATTAGACCAAGCACATTGCACAACCATTTCAGCACCAGGGATTGTTGCAAGTCTTTTTGCATTTCTTTATACACGCAAATGGAGACGGATGGTCCGGGGCACAGAGCTGTGAAGTGTATGAAATAGTTTAATTTATAATAACTTTGGACTGGGGATGAAACACTGTAGTATTACAGAATCTAAAGCATAGTTTATGGTTATCAACACAAATAATTAATCAGTTCATGAAATAATGTGGACACTTTTCAAAGCTGCCTTGAGTAACCTCTAATCTCCATTTGTTCAAGCTCTCCTACATTTCAGTAAATTCATAATGAGTTGATGTGGTCAAAAATGTCTGATCTGTGAATACATTTATTTTAATTGTGGAGTTGTCACCTCAGAAGTAAACAGCAGGATTGGAGGTTGTAACTGTGAAAGTTTAGCTGCTCAATAACGGATGCTGATAACACCAACTCCACATACGGCCAATCATTTCAATTGTGCGCCTTCACACAGGTCTCGTTCATTATGATTCAAGATTAAAATGGATTTTGGGAACAAATCTTTGTCTTCAGAAATGTTTCAATTCTGATTCTGCCGTTCATTTCTTTAATAATGTCATAGTAATTTGACCTGGATATTGGACTGTTTTCTGTTGTAGCCAGATCTGGGACACAGTAAAAACTGAAACCAGAAGACAATCAGTCACTTTATGTGCTAAACGTGTCACTCTCCTTGTCACTAAATGTTGTCCAGTCTTGTGTTTCACTTATACACACCTGAACTTCACCTATTTATTGCTATCCATAAATATTATGATTGTTATATTGTTGATATATGGTTATAATTAATGTAATTTTGTGTTATGTTTTAAATGTCGGTTAATTAAGGCCGACAAAGAGTTAAATGAACTGAAGCAGTTACTGACTTATTATCGCATTTTTATCATTTTGGTTAAATACTTTAACAAAACGGCATCTGATGCCGACAATGACAATCTACTCCTTGAGCCATCCATGAAATGTGGCGGGTTGGACTTAAAAATGTACATAAATATCTATAATGGGATTTATTGTCAAGACTTTTTCCGTAAAGTGTTTGAGCCAGTGATAGTGCTGTTGATTTTGTTTTTTGACAGCTCAGTGGAAGATCAGGCAGAGCAAACTCAATCAGTGTTTAAAGACTGCTAACCAGATCTGTAATATCCTGATCGCTGCTACACAAGACAAACTGCTTTTAAATCATTTTGTTGTCATGTTATCATCTCCCAGACAGGAATCAGGGTCAAATGCAATTTCAATGAAATCTTAACTCAGTGTTTAAGTGAATAAAAGATGTGAGTTTAAATATTCTTTTTCTGTCTCTTTTTCCAGCACATTCACAGAGGTTACCAAATATTCTTAGAGCTGCATGTCTATGTTATGATGGACAATATCGAGTCAAGCAATCTATTTACAATGAGCATCAAATGGACCTGGATAGTTGAATGATTTTTCCCTCTGTACTATGAAAAAAGTAACAAATGAGACCCTCTCAGGGCAGTCATCAACAGAGATAGTGTTTTTCCTTCAATTTCCCTCAATGAGATTTATCTGTGATGAGGCGTGTCTCTGGACCATCACCGTCTCTGGAGGTCTGATCAGCACAGTGTAACACGTTTGCTGAAGGATGGCATGACAGGCTCTAACAAAGTATTATAAGGTAGCATACTATTCTTTTCAACTAATCCTAAAACTAAACAACTTTATTGTTGAGAACATTTATCAAGGTAATTCAAAGTAAGGAAACACTTTCTTACTTATGCTTTTGTTACAGTAATTTACTGTAGAGTAAGTTAATTTTGCAGTGAAGCAATAGAGGAATGTCTCTCATTTGCACTCTTTTCATTGCGCAATTGATTGAGTTTGCGCTTGCATACAGTAAAAGGACAAGGACAAACAACTCTTCCCTTTGAACATTGCTTCTATAAAGTCTTACAGCCTTTTGTCACAGAAAGATGTGGCCACATGAACCAAATATTGCTCCATTTGTTCATGTACACAATCAAAAACAACCCAGAATGGAAAATAGCATCTCCCGACACTCTGGGAAGAATTTACTGGAAGTCATGACAGTGTGTCCTCAATTGTTTGTTTGTATAAGCAAAATGCTCTAAAAGTAATGGGCGTGCAGGCTGCCACAGCACAAACTTTGCCTGTGAATAAGTTCTGATTGAAGTCGACATAAATCAAGTCTACGAGACTATTATGCAAAGTGAAGCTAATAAGTGGCCAACAACACAATCTGAATTTCAATCTTACCTGCCAGTAAACTTCACTCCAAATTGGATTGCAACAGAGGCCTCTGTGGGATGAATTAAAGAATAAACTTCATAAAATCGTGGCTCGGCTTATTCAAAACTGATAAACACTTGGAAATGCATCTTTGCTTCAATGGTCAAAACTCATCAACCTAAAAGAAATCAACAGTATTATGTAAACCAACGTTTTTAATACCACAATCTGTATGGAAATGCTTTTCCTTGCTGCATAATCTCAACTGGACAACAGATCACAGACATATTTCAGCTGTTATGACAGTCCCTGTAATAGCATTTGCAGTCCCAGCCTGTTTTATACAAACTTCTTCCCATTATGCTAAATAAAAGGCATATTAAATCCATAAATATGAGCACATTACGGGAATATCATGCTGTTTCATGCCATTGGCTTGCCTTCTTCATGCCCAACACACATTATGAAAAAGCAGTTCTGGTTTTCATTGTGTACCAGCCAGTCCCTCTCTCGCCTTCACCTCATCCCTAAATCTCCTAATTTAACTCATTATTCGCTCGATTGGTGGGCTCTAGCCCCTCCTGCCTCAGGCTCACGGAGCTGGTAGTCATTAGTAAACCTCTAACACTTAGACACATGCACAGACAATGACAGGAGCCGACCGGTGTCACACAAATCATTCAAATCAGAAGTATCTGCAGGAACTCAAGATATATTATGACTTGAACATATAATGACAAAACATGTATGTTTTTTAAATTTTCTTTGTTGCAAATGCTCTGTGACTGGATTAATTTGTCACCCAAAACAAACGTCAATTTGTCAACAGAAGATTAGACAAGTCAAACAATAAGTGCACTATAATGAATAAATGTGCATAAATATCCTGTATCATCACTGTCTTTAGACCATGCAGCATTTGGGGCGAGGGGACTCATAAACCTAGTGAGAGATCCTGAGAACCTCAGTGAAAGAGACCCACAATTGACTACTTCAAGTTTGCTGAGAGATCACCCATTACATACATTATTAACACAGCTAACAGTTTTCATAGATAGAAAAGTGAAACAGAGGAGTGACGCACATGTAGCCAATCAGCTGTGGGCTGAAGGAGTCATATAATGACTACATTGAGCTCTTTCTTCTGATACCTCCAGATCTCCAGTTTCATAGCGTCTTGCACAGAGTTAGCTCAGTCCGCTGTGACGTCAGGCGGGTGGGACAGATGTACAGACAGACAGACAGTGTGTGGCAGGACCACCCACAGCCCTGCGGTGCAGAGCACTCTGGCTCAGTCTGGGACAGATCTCTGACATGTTGATATGTGAGATTTCAACTCTAACTTAGATTTAATCTCACTTAGATTTTTCTATATTTCTCTTCCAATGTTTTTTAAACTATCATTGAATTTAAAATGAGCCTATATGCCTCCATGTTCTGATGTTGATTGTAACAAAAGAAAAAGTACCATAATTACAAAAAAGCATCCTTCATGTCATGACCAGCCAGCAGAGCGATGGCTTGTTCTATTTGAAATCTAAGAAATAAAATATACAATTGTGGTGTTTCAAAGATGGGATTTTGTACACCACTACAGAGCCATTCCCACAAACTTCAGCATGCTTTTGTTCATACGTTTGTACTCTGATTAAATGCTTGAATTACATCAGTTACTCCACATAAAAAGTTACCATTGAAAATAAACAGGGATATGGCAATAGTGAAAACAAGACCAAGGCAATGAGCGTTTCTATGGTAATGATGACATGACCTGGATTCAAACATGGACTTGTTCCGTTCTCCATCATGCTATAGATCTGTGCAGAACAAAGACAAAACAAATCTCTGTTTGTAGTCGTAAACGCTACAAAATATACAAAAGTTCAAGTTGTATTGAAACTTTTGCAACCCACGGAGTATACACACAGCAGGCAAATACAGTATTGATCCAGATGGAAAAGTTCTCTTCAACATTCAATACCAAAAGTCTTCTCTGTCTAGGAATTGCTGAATTACAGTAAATAGGTGAGGAATTGGTATTTTTTGGCCGATGCCCTTGTTTGTTGTCTGAGGGGTGAGATTGACAGGTGTGTGGAGCCCCGAGCCCCTCCGACAGCTGTGAGGGCACCACTGCAGGGCATTAGGCTGATCGAGCAATGATTAGAGAACATTAGAGGTGAAGAGGGGGGAGACGGGACACAGCTGTCATTGCTAACTATTATTACCCACAATGCATCTCTGAGGGGAGGCTCTCGCTGCACTGCACTCACACCTGTGGCCTCCTGCTGTGGTCAGGGACATGATACCAACCACTGAGACGCATGTGGCACCACCATGCAACATCGGCATTTATGATAGCTTACATGCTAAATAAATAAATATGTCTGTATGTATAGAACATTTTCCCATGCACCTTCTTAACAACTGGCGTATCTAAATTGATCATGTTGTATGTCGCAACAGTCCGAGTCATGTAAAAGTAACATGTTGTGAACTTATCAGACCATAACATGTTGTCTTCATCTTGTTGGAAAACACATAATTGTTTGCATAGTTGTAAGCCTTATGAGTCACAATGTGATGCTTTGGCGTGATAAGGGTTTGAATAAGGGTTGTCCTCCTTTCCACAAAAAATAAGATTAAGAGATCCTTTATTATTTCCACAGCAGGGAAATGTCAGTTTTGCATCACAAGTTACAAACAGTAGGAATGAGGAGCACACACAGTACAGCACAACTCTATACTCACTAAATAAAATAAAATAAATAATAAAAAACTTACTTTATAAAGTATAACTATTATTATAGCTTTTTTTTTTTTTTTTTTTATTACAGACTCGTAGTCCAAAACATATATTCTCTAGTGTAAAGAAATATATACTTATGTCTTGTATGTCTGACTAATGACGGTAAGCTAACTGAATATTTGGTTTAAGAACCAAAGTATAAATCTTAAGATAACAATCATCTACGATCTATCTTATGTCATAAACCTTCAGTTAGTTTGACCTAAATGTCAAAAAGGTTCCGTTCGGTCATCCTCTCCCGTCTTCAACCTTTTCCCAAGGCGTTGTTTCAAATGTACTATGAACATTGTTTTAACTGCTTGAACTTAAGGATTTGTCAAACCCTTTCTTGAAAACTTTAGTTACTTAACTTGAAATGAAAGCATTTTATGTACTTTAGCTATTTTCACTGTAAACCAACATAGAAATGATTCCCCAAATAACAATAACCGCACATAAAAGACTTGCTCGGTGTTGTCAATGCTGCTTTATGGAAAAGTTTAGTGGTGGGGGGCAGCTGTCGGACTCAGGGCAGCGTAGTACATCACCGCTAATGTACTGGGAAAACACAAGGCGACCGTGGTGGCAGTCACTGGAGGGGCGACACACAAACTAACAGTAAACAACAGCAGACATTCAATTAGCCAAATGTTATGGTGAGATTAACAACTGCGTGTCAGGGACGGGCCTTTCATCAAGCCCACCAAGAATATGACTCCTGACGTTTTGAGTTGATCGAGAACACTTTCAGATGTTCTTCCGTGGACTGAGAGATATAACAGGACTTGGATTTGCCATTGTGCTTGTTTCATTGGATAAATGTAGCATGAAGGAAACATCAAATTACGCTTGAATCTTTCTGTAAAATGTTGGGAATTGTGTGAATAAAAAATGCCATCGGTTGCGCAGGGTCGGGAATGTCTCCTCCGATCTGGGTCTTTGTCAGGCGAGATCGGAGGGATGAGAAGGCAAACAGCTGCTGCGTGATTAAAAATAAATTGCACTCAGCATTTCTCTAAACCCTGGAATAACTAATCCGGACTGGGCCATGAAACATACATGAGGGTAAATGTAATGATTTCATCCATCAAAGAGTTTACTTAAACACTTTAAGCCATAATTTTAGTCGCAGGATAGACAGGTCCAAAGCAGCTGCCACCTAATAATTATAGACATTAATATTAGGTCAAGCAGCCACAGGGGAATAGAGCCATTAGTGGGACATTAGCATAGCTGAGCTATTGTAGAAGAGTGACAGTATCATAGATTGGGCAATTAGGATTTAAATACAGCATTTCTGAAAGGCTGTTTTTTGAAATGCATTGCACATCAAAGATGGATCAATTTAATAATAATAGTTTCTCTAAGAAATCCTTTTGAATTTTTTTTTTTTTTAGAAAACTCATTGTATGAATTTTGTTTGATTGTCACGTCCAGATTGTTTTTAATTCTAAAATGGGACACTCAAAACCTTTTTTTGTGTGTTTGGATGGTGTAAGACGCAATAAGACTATTTTATTTATTTATTTGTTTGGAGGATAAGCCTCTAGAGATGAAACATTTTGTTTTCGAGGGGGTTCTCAATAAGAGGGAAAACTGCTGCTAGCATGTTATAAGGGACCAGCTTTAAAAAGTAAATATCATGCATTATTTTTGTCCATCAAAATGTATGATGAAACGTTCTACTCCATAATTCCATGTTTTGGAATGTGAAATGAAATTGTAAAAAGAAAATATATTGTGAAACAAATATTTGGGATAAAAATTTGTTCCACTGGTATTTCCCTGTATCTACCACCAGAGGGATGAGTTGAATTTGTTTTTTGTTTTCAGAATTGAAAGTTACCAGCTGCAAACGCAGCCATGTGATTATAAAGAATGGAATTTCACTTTTGGAATTGCCAAAACTAATGTGTGAGCACTACCTTTTTGACCAGACAACTACATGTGAGTGATGAAATAGGAATAAAATAACATTGTTTGTGTCAAAAGTTCCTGGTTGTAGCGTGGATGGACGTATCTAAAAACAACCCTAGGTTTGTTTTTGATGAGGGAACAATGTTGTAATAGGGTCAAAGCTAGAAGAATTTGGCATGTTATGTCTCCTTTAACATACATTGTTTACCTTAATTCAATCTTTCAAAAAGTTTTTGAGATCTGGGCTGTTACCTTGATCTCCTCAGGGGTTGGTCCTCAGAGGCTGAGGAGATGACTCTGGATCGGACAAGAGGAGACAGGTGCAGTGTTGGACATACTGCCTCGGGCCGTCCCATCCTGGAGCCTCAGCGTTCCCCTTCTCTGATGTGCTGTGACACTCATAACTGCAGTGGGATGAGTGGTGCACACCTGAGATGACAGTAATGACCTGTGAGAAAAACATGAATGTCTGAGCATATGGTCCAACACTCAACCCCTTTTCTAAATGTCTCTTCAGCCATTTTGTTCTGGAAAAATGTAAAATAAACTTCTCGATTGATCGAACACAATTTCTTGTTTTCCTGTCATTCTTATCCTGGAATTACGAAAAATAAAAAATAAACGAAACCTGAATAATAATAATAATGAGCACACATTTGATGTAGCCCCAACATATAAAGTAAAGGCACATTTTTTGGGCTGGGCATACAGCCAAAACATGGTTAGGTGGAAGCCCCCACACCCACTGTCTCATCGACATTGGATGTAGACATTTCCAGTTCATGGTATTACAGTATTCTATTACTCTGAGGAAGACCAACTAAAGTACACAAACGTCTTTGTGCATGTGTGTGTGTGTGAGAGTTTGGACAGATTTCAACTCTTGTATGTGTTCTCTAAGTACGTGAATAAAAGCAACAGAAGAGCAAGAAAGCATTGTTCTTACTATATCATCTCATTTCTTCCAAGAGTTATGTCTGTTTGATATTTCACATCTTACATAAAACTAAATGTAGGGAGCAGCACACTGTCAGTCAATAACTCGAGCTCTGGTGGAGTGCCTGAGATCTCATTAGGCATTAACTTTATCAGTGTAGTCTAAGGAGCTGCTGGCACTGCTCGAATGGACATCTGTCACTTATTCTCCATAGCGTGTTTGTCTTAATACGTCCAAATGATCATTTCTGTAAAACTACCAAATCGTCTTTCCTTCCACCTTGATTTACCCCCAACAAGACAAACAAGAATCATTCACATATTTACTACAGACAAAAATCAGTGATGAATGAGACAGGATGGACTAATGTTGGCGTGAACTTTGTGGACTTTATTAAAAGATAAATCATTTGTAATGTGGGTGAAGAGTCCTATTCATTTGGCTTTTGTTTTAAGGAAGAAGCAAAAGATAAAACCGTTTTATAATTATATTGTTTTTTAATGCATTCTATGATAGCATGCAGAACACTCTAAAGAGGACAACATCAGCAATGCACACAAATATGATCTGCAGAAATATTAACTTGGGCATGCAATGCATTCAATATTTATGTTCACAAGCTGTCACATAATGGGTTTGCACTGTTGCGCCTGTCACAAAGCGGTGGGAGCAGTCGTCAGCTTTAACAGACAGTGTCATTCATTGAACTTGTCGTATGAAACCACATTTGCACATTGCAAGTATAACCCTCATGAAGAGCCTTGTGTACGTGCCCTGGTCTTAAAGACATATTAGCTCACCTGCCTAACAACAATAGAGCCATATCCACTGTCACGCTACATTAGGCTGCGCGGCGCACACTCGGAGCTCTGTGCTGATTGGCCGATGACAGCAGAGATACAGCTCCTGTCTGTGAGGTAACCTGTCTGCAGATCAGGGATAACATTCACAGCTTCAATCTAAAGTCTGTCAAACAAAAACACAGCACTGAGATCGTTTTTCAGTTTAAACAACGCTACGGTATCTGTCGCTATGGACCATTCTTTTGTGGAACTGACATTTGATTTCGATTTGTGTTATAAAGGTGGCAATACATGTACAGTGTGAGAAAAGTGCTAAATACTGTATATACCCGTTACCCTGTAGGATTCGCCTTAATATTTCACTCTGAATAGTTTTGGGACTCCTGCACTGTCCTACATTTTGGTCTTAGTTGCTCAGACAGGTAGGTTACACAAGCAGACACACGCACGCACACACACATACACACACAGTTTTCAATCCTGGAGTGCTAATTTATGATACATTTCAGTGGTATTTTGTTAAGTGCTTTTGTTAATTTCTCATACTTCTGTCTCACCTTGGGAAACGTTTTGGGGTCAAATCACTCATTTGCCTTTGCATACCTCACACAAAACTGCAATATAAATAATTACATGAATTTTACTGCTGTTCAGGGAAATGGCAAAATTAAAAGGAAGAGACTGGACATTTGTGACAATATGTTTTTTTTTGGAAGTTTTGACCATACAAAAAAAAATCTATACAACTGTGACTACATTAAAATCATAGTGTGTCTCTTTAAAGCTTTAAAGCTTACCTAAATTTCACTGTCAAATAGTGACTCTCAGGGCAACAAATGTTTTATAATAAAGGCAGCATGTTGTGGTCTGATTTGTTTGTTTTTTTAAGGCTCATTCTGATGTATTATTTATGAAACAAAAAGGTTAGGTACCCCGCAGCTTTAAGGTCATACCCAGTTCAGACATTGCATTATAATGAGATAAATATATTTTGGTATTTATTCAATTCATCAACGCGACGAGACACAAAAATGAAAACCATTAGTGACCACATATAGGCCACTTTGTCACTATGAAATTGCACCTCCTCGCTCCCTCATATCTCCCTCCTCTGGGCTCAGTCCTGTCTGTCCCATCAGCCAGTGGGAGCAGCAGCGGGCCTCCGAGCCTCGCCTCCCAGACAACTGCAAACAATTAGGGAAATTAGTGGCTCCAGCATCACCATCAGGAGGCCTGCTTGTTTATAATTTAATCGGGCCGCATGTCAAAACAGTCAGGGCTTGAGAGAAACAAGATGCGTCGGCGAGATGAAATTCAAACTGCCAGCCAGCTCAAAATATTAGGACTGTTTGTTTAATAGCGTGCGACCAACTGGGTAAAAGCAGAGTGTAGCAAGAGACGGGGGTGAATAGGGCAATAGGAAAGAAAACAGAGGAAAACATGATGTTGAATGCTGGGAATCTCAAGAGAAACTTTCTTTGTTATAATATGTTATTAGGGCTTTGGGCAGGTATTATTCATTCACTAATAGATGAATAGATGATCTCGATCTATTGAGAAAGCATCTTGAGTTTTGTTGAAAATAATCAGTTTTTTGAGTATTGTATTTTAAGCCATAATACATATAATGGTTCTTTCTTTCTTTCTCTAATGTCTGATAAATAATGCACTCCAAACAGCGCAACAAATATAAACTAGTTTAACTCGTGTGTTGCCGTGTGTACAGTAATGAAGCTCAACATAGTATTTGTTAGTCTGATTGGTCCATGTAAGATGTCACAGGATATATTTTTTTAATAGGTTCTATATAGTGTAGCTACATACATCTGCATATCTCCTTATATCTGACCCTTAAATTTCATATACTTGATAGATTAATTTACTTTTGTGTCTGTTTTATGCATGTTGTCAACTCAATGCATCAGAATTTTAGGACTCTCCCTGTTGCCAGCCTTCTTCCACTTAGCAGTGCACTGGGAATTTCGAGGTCTTGGATCTGTGCCGCCTTTCAAATTCATTATAAAAGCTTTTTGCTAAGTAAATACAGAGAACGGCAGGCGGAGTAAAAAAGAAAAAAAATGACAAATTCATCTGCCTCTTAGCCCCACTGCCCCCCTGACAATATATAAATAAACTAGAGTGACCTGATTGAGATGTAAAAGCCAGGGACTTAGCACTGGGACCATACATTACGTCTTAACATTAACAGTAGTCTTAGTCAGCGACACATGGTGGTGGGCCGATGGCCTGTGGGTAAATGCTGAGCCTAATGCCCCTCTCGCCCTGTGTTAACCACAGCTCTGTCCTGTGCCCACACCTTCTGGTCCAGTATGGACCAGAAGGTGGATTTTCTGGATGGATTTTCTGACATTAACCGATATTGTCAATAATCTCAAGGCTATAGGATGCAAAGTTTAAGATAGATTCACATTGATTATTGGAATAGTTGGCTGCCGAGTCATTTCTTTTACTGGACTATTATGTGCTGTACACATAGCAACAAATGAAACAACACCTTAACATAAAGTGACTGTATACATCCAGTAAAATCTCATATGGACTGTGAGTGATGAAGCAGAGAGGGGTGAGGCCTGGGGGGCAGTCTCAGTGGACGATCATTAGGCTGATGAGGATCACAACAAGGCACTAATTGGTGATAAGCTGATGTATGGTGAAAGTGATCCAGAGCCCTCATCATGATAGCACTAAACCAACAGCGCAGCCACATGACGAGAACACAGACCACAAGGCCAACAGGCCAACCGGGCCTGGTCAAAGAGCGTTATTTAAACTCATGACTGCATACAGCGCGGCTCCACACCACTGTCATTAGGCTGCTCTGCTCGCCGCTAATGCCTCTGCGGTGTGGTCAGCGAGACAGACGCTCAGAGCCCGAACATCAGCCGCCTGCTATCACTGCCCTAATTGGATCAGTGGCACGAATGTGATTACTGCAGGCGTATTTATTTACATAATAATTATCACAGCCCTTCCCAGAGGAGAGAGCAGAGATCTGCAGCGAGATGAGGGCTGATAGAGTGCACCCAGGGAGGAGTTTAGACAGGACAGGACTGACACACTGGATACACAGAGTGCCTTATTCATATTTCTGAATGCAGATAGCTTTGATATGACAGGCCATCAAGTCAATTGCAAACAATCTTATTTTCAGGACAAGCTGCAGACAAAATTTAAGACAAAGAAAATGGGCCACGATATCAACAGATATATGGACACCAGCTGTATACTATAAGGCTGTAATTAACAATTATTATGATAACTGATTAGATGGACGCTTAATTTTTTAGATAATTATTTAGTTAAGATCATATAATGCCAGTGAATATAATATTTTAACCAAAACAAAGCCAAAGTATTACCACCAGAGAACATTGAAAAGGTGTCAAATAATAACTTTTGAACACCTTTCCAATTACATTCTGCAGTTATTTCAGTTTTGCAAGAATAATAAATACTATAGCATGTTTTCATCTGTGTCTGGTTAAAAGAAGAAAAAAAACAATTAACTTGAGAGCTCTGTTAAAAACATGAATGTAACTTAATCAGTGATTGGCTAATGGCGACTGCAAAGTTACAACAGTAGAGGCCATAATCTGGAGTTATAACACAATTAGTTGTATAGCAATTGGTGAAATGTATGCAAGTATTATCTAGTTATAAATATACTTTCGAACAAATTGAATTTTTCTTCATGGAGAACTATATTCTGAAAAATGTGGTCCCCAGAAGAGTCCTTGTCCATTCTTAATGTAAACATGGCTCTCTATTTCAAAAACAGGCGCACACAGAGACAGGCTGATAAAGACAGAGAGGGATGAAGGGGCTCAGGGGACAGCATCCAGTTTACGTTTGCTGCCATTGAAGTAGCCCAAAGTCTGGCTCTGCTTGCTGCTTAATGGTACTTAATCACAGAGCTCCTAAAATAGCCCATTATATCTGCAGCTAGAGTTACCCAGAAGCCTCAGGGGCGAACAACACTGCTTTTGTTAATAAAATGCCATTAATCAGAAACATTATGGGAGCCCCTGGTTGGAAAGGCGTAGCAGAGGTTGATGAATATCTCGGGAATAAAAAACATTTACTCACCTTGTCTAAACTGCGGTTGATATGTGTCTAAAAGTGTGTGTTGGTCTGTGCGGATGGGGACGGGGCTGGGTGGGACAGGAACCACGGGAGATGACTAAAGACACCCACAGGACTGGTAGTGCTGTAAATATTTGCCATGGATTTAAAGATATGGATTAATAGACTAAATGTTATTTTTTTGAGTTGGTTTTGGTTTTTCATTAATTATTGCAAAATGCTACACAACATTTTGATTTCTTAAATGTTATTACTGTATCATCCTGACTTTATTGGGCTTTACACCAAGGAATCGTTCACCCATCCACACACACACATTGATAAACCAGTGTCCAGACTATTGAGACCACCATACTGAGCTTCAGGATCCCTTTACAAACTCTCGTCAAAACAATGTGGAAAATGACACTAAATAAGGCTGGCTTAATTCCATTTGTTATAGCTTTGGACTCTCTAAATAATAACAAATACAAAAAAGAATTGTGCTCACGAGTTTATCCACCAGTCGGTATATACAGTATTTCCCAAACTATTCCCCATTATATAATATGTGAAGATGCCACTCAGTTGTTATGGTTTCTTGTAAATTTGACTTGTAACAAACTGCAGAAAGTAGGTAAAACGAGTGGAAAATCTAATGTTTGACTGGAAGTAATGAGACATGCCCAGAACATTGGGTCAAGGAGCCTGACTGTTCTTTTATTTTTTTTTATTCCAACACAGATACAACAGAAATTCAAAAATAATAGGTATGACAAACATACAAACATACACAGTACAAGACATAAAAGAGTCAGGGACAGTGAACAGGGTTTTGTGTAGACGTGTGTGAATGTACTTGACTCTGTGCGTGTGTGTGTAAGTGATGGTGTGTGTGTATATGCATTGCTAATTTTACAACAACAACAAAAAAATGATTAAAGCCGCAAGCGGCGTTGAACGGCCCTCGCCGCTCAACGCAACCGAGGTTGCGCTGACGCACCATTTCCCTACCGCCATGATGGGAGCGACACTGTGCATTTTGAATTCCTATGATCAGTGATTGTGTGTCTCTATTGAAAACGTAAACCCCATTCTCCCCATGTAACACTTGAATCAGTCTTTAGCTAATGCTTCAATTTCATGATTCACACTTTCCGTTCACTCAAACCCTAGAGTTGAACAATCGATTAAAATTTTGTGCAAATTGGACTTTGTATGTACAAATGACGGGCATTTATGTTGTACAACAGCGCCCCCTATGAATTCAATTTTTTTAGTCTTTTTAGTCTTATACCAAAGAACACCCAAATAATACATTTTATGCAAGAAAAAAAGTTGTGGCAAAGTTTGGTGGATTTTTGTGTTTGTTCAGTGGGTCAAATATGAGATCAAACGACAGAAAACAACCGAGTCCAGTTCAGTGCAAATCAGAGTTTGTAAATGTGCTCCTGTTTGCACGTAAAATCTGTGAGTGTGTCCATACAGTCTCCATTGGATAACATTAGAACTTCACACCTCTCTATGAAAATAACCACACTTTGGGAGTCTGTCACGCGCAGACCGTTTGACTAATTTAAATTCTATGATCAACTATTGATGGTCCATGTGTTGAGACCATGTGGAGCGATTTTCAGACAAATTAGTGAAACGGCCGCGGCTGGTTTGATGTTTGAGCGAGGTGTACTTTTCAGATATTTAACGATTTTCCCATAGACAGAGAATGGAGAATGTTTGTTGTCGCCACGGCAACAGGGTAAAAATTAAGCATGATGTTGTCATTGACTTTTTGAATCCAGACGACAAAACATAATTATGTGCAAAATTTCAAACATTTTGAAAAAACTAAATTGGATCAAACCCATGCAAAACTTTGACACAGTCTGTAGGGGGCGCTAATGAGCCAATTTCAATATTTCAACTTTCAAATGACCTAGACCCTGGAGCTGAAAAAATGGATAAAAATTGTGTGCAAATTAGACTTTATTTGTACAAACGGAAGCAAATTTACTTTTGTCAAAAAGTTTAAAAAAAAGTCACATTTTGTGAATTT